AGACAAGATGAAGGGGTGGATTAGGGATTTTTCATGCAGTCTTTACTAAGACAAAATTCCATGGCTGTGGGTACCCCTAGCAGAGAGCAAGACAAGATTCTGGAGAAAAATTGGCCTCAGAAGTCATAACTTTATTTAATGGACCAGTCGGTTAAAACAAGAAGGACAAAAAAAGCAAGGGGATCCACAGTCACTCCATTGGCCAGGAGCAAATCCTTGAACCTAACTCATAAGGAGCCAGGTGACCCCCCTAGTCCCATCATCTGCAGAGTCCCAAGAGTGTTTGTCCATGAGCATCTAATGCCAAGGCCTCTGTCTCAGACTAGGAGACAGAGAGTCTAACGGTGTCTTTGAGGTGATTTTCAATCAGCCAACCCATCCTATAAAGATTCTCCCAAACTAGTTACATGAGAAGTGAAATGAATAAGTGTCCCCTGCTCACATAAATTAGCCATCCTGCTACAGAAAATGGCAGGTTAGTGTAATATATTATATATATATATTAATATATACAAGGACAGCATTTCAGTGACAAGGGCAGATGAAGGCAGGCTCATGTGTACATTGCCCAGCAATGTTCATCGGGGTTAATGCAGGGGAATTATTATTCTGTATCACGTTTAGTGCACACTTTACCAAACAAATGAAAAAGAAATGGGAAGCCAGCCGTACTGGGAGAGCATGGCATCCTACAACAAGGAGACAGCGTGTCGGCGGGCACCCAGTTGAACTTGAGCATCCAACCAGCACTGAGAGCAAGTTTTCAAAGAGCAAGCAACAGTCCACTCTGAAAATTACCCTTTTTGTCTGAATAGCCAGTATTGGGCTCCCAAATCCTCTGCTGCACACTGAAAGGAGCCCCCTGGTGAAAAGCCCCCTGACCTCCAGGTGAAAAGATACTTCGCACTTTGGCTCCAGGTATCTGCTCACCCTACTTTAGCTCTCGCTCCGCCACTGATAGGTTCTCACAGTGAAATGGCAGCAGAGCAAGAAGTGACTTTGCTTTGCTGCCTTCCCAAACAGATGTCTGCTGTTTCCCTTTGCGTGTGAAGTGTTCAAATGTAGCCTCTGTCTTGCTGATTTTCACATCATCTCCTCCTGACTCAGTGGCCCAAAAGTTGGGCAGGAGGAGGTTCATGTCGCTCTTCATGTCATTCAGATGTCTTACTTCATGGCATAGGCAGAGTTAAAGCTCAATAAATGACTTCAAATAATGTTTCAGGCCACAGGTTTAGTGCCTTAGGCTGTTTTAATAAATTACTTTGTCACGATATTTAAGGGAAAATATGTGACACTGCATTTTTTTTTTTTACATACAGTATTATGGAAAACATTTTTATTTGGTTTGATTAAATATGGCTTGATGAAAAAAGGATGAAGTCAAAGGAGATCCTAGCCAGTTTGATCACGTATCAGATAAAAGGCACATAGTACTCAAAATAAGAGCAAAATACAATGAAATACAAACAGACGATATTTCATAATAATCAACTGCTCGCCTGAGAAACACATTCAAATCTGAGCTTATCATTATACCAGACTTTCTATACAGCAGGCACAGTACTGTGCGGCAATACGGTCAGTGGATAGAGTACAGGAGACTTAGTTTCTGTTCCCAGCCCTACCACTGATTCGTTACATGACTTTGGACAAGTCACTTAATTTCAGCATGCAGGGCCAGCTCCAGGCACCAGACCAGCAAGCAAGTGCTTGGGGCGGCCAAGGGGAAGGGGCGGCATGTCGGGCTCTTCGGCGGCGGGTCCTTCAGTCCCTCTCAGAGGGAAGGACCTGCCACCGAAGAAGAAAGCAGCGCG